CTGACGTTTTGCATGGGTTTAAGAATGATCTGAAAACTGGGAGGGAAACATAAACATTATTAGCTTGGCTCATGAATATTAATTAGGTGATTAACTGATTTGCTTAAAATGCACATACTTTAAGCGGGCACCGGCTATATAAGGATTACCATGCATTAATTGCGTTTTCATTTATTCTGCTGATACAGCCATTTGGCAAAGGCTTCTGCCTGAGCTTAAAGCAGTTTTTTTTTTTTTTTTTTGACACTGCCGGCTACATTTTTTTCTTTGCATTGTGGCCAAGCAAACAAAGCTTTTTAAATATATGATTATTGCTCAAAAACTGTGGGTCCCTGTATCTCTGTATAAATGTGCTTGTGTAAATCAAGAAAATTTTATATTAAAAAAAATAATTACAGATTTTTTAAAATGCATTAAAATATGAATACTTAAATATATTAATTTTAGTTCTAATCTTTTTATCATCATATCTTTTAATCATTGTGTAACATGCAATGAGTTTATAGTTACCAGTGTTATTTTAGGATCATTTATACTATTATAGTATTTATTAAGATTATGAATTAGCTTTTATTTTTATATTTTCAGTTTTCATTCTAATTTAACATTAAGTTTTAATAATGTTAAAGGTGTCATGTGATGCGATTTAAAGTTTTCCTTTCTCTTTGGAGTGTTACAAGCTGTTCATGAATAGATAAGATCCCTAAAGTTGCAAAGGCTAAAGTTAAGACTCGTCCACGCCTCGTTTAAACACGCCCCCACATGTCTACATCACTGTGTGGGAAGATTTGCATAACACCGCCCAAATGTTCATGCAAAGAAAGAAGGTGTAACTTTTATTCTCGCTGTAGTATTGTTATTGCCGCCGCCGCCATGTCGTGGAGACGCTGTGTGTTTCGTTGTGAAAGCGAAACTACTTTGTTTGGTCATCCAAAAGAGGACACAACTAGAAATAAGTGGTTAAGTTGTATTTGCAACACTGTTCCAGAACAATTCAACCCAAATATTCAGATGTGTGCAGCGCATTTTACGGAGGATGAGGACTGTTTTCTGGGAGAGTAGCCAACAAAGCCGGTGTTTTGGTGAATTCAGTTCCCCTGTTTCCCCTTCGGCGCGCATGCTGACCACAAGTCTATGATACTGACAAATAATGCTGACTCGCAGCCTATAAGTACGTTTTCATTAGGGCTGGGTTTTGACACAAATTTCACGATTCGATTCGATTCTCATTCACAAGCTTGCGATTCGATTCGATTACCGATTCGATTCAGTATCGATTATTTTGGATATATATCAGGTACAGTACATACCAAATTTTCTCAAGTAAAAAAATCTGCTGTAAAATATACACAAGAGTCAGTTGGTACTACATTACTATAATACTGAAGGTTAAAATTGACTGATTTGTTAAAATTACACTTAATGAAGATTTTAAAATAATAAAGTTACAATTACATAATAATATTTCTACTTCGTTTATTTTTTTTTAAATTACACTTAATGAAGATTTTTAAATAATAAAGTTACAATTACATAATATTTCTTATTACATAAGTTTTTTTTTGTATATATATATATATATATATAAACATAATGGCTGTCATAAAAATTTGATGGATTTATTCAAACACAAATTAAACATTGAAAAACAGTAAAATGTATAATGAATATGTTAAATGCCCCTCTCTACAGTTTATTTTTCTATCTGACTAATGAGTTTATGGTCACCGAATATGTTTTTATGAGGTAAATGTGACGTTATGTGACATTGTTTGCAAGCCGCTATATTGACGTCTTTGCGCGGCTGAAAAACTGATTGAGCGATTACATGAGACAGGATACGGATTGTAGAGTTGTACTCTTTCTTTTAACTTACCTTCGGATGTTTAGTAATGATTATTTTGTGCTGAAACTGGTGTTAATGTGGAGGAGATGAGATGATCAGTTCATGTGCGCTATGCGCTGCTGAGTCTGTTGAACTGAGGCGCTACAGCGATCTGTCACTCCAGAGACACAGCATCACAGTATGGTAAGGGGTGTAACATTTCCGTCACACGCTTGAGGAATTCGGCCAATCACAATGCACTGGATAGCTGGCCAATCAGAGCACATCTCGCTTTTCAGACCGATGAGCTTTGTAAAAATCGACGCGTTTCAGAAAGGCGGGGCATAGAGGAGAAACAATAATGTACAGTATGTGGAAAATAATGTGTTTTTTTAACCTTAAACCGCATAAACACATTTCATTACACCAAATACACAAAATAATTTTATTTTTTAGCAATGTCATATGACCCCTTTAAACATTTGTAATTTTTATTAGTTTGTTTTTTTGTTAAATATTTCAATTTAGCTTTAATTTATTTTTATTTCAGTTTTAGTCATTTTAGTGCCTTAGCTTAAACCTGTTTTTCTTTAGTTATAACATCAAAATTTCTAATATTTGAATTTTTTTAGGTTTAAGTTTTTAATCTCTAATAAAATAGTTAAACTATTTCATTTTAGAAGTAAAATAGTTTTCCCATCTATTTTATTTCATCTTTTGTCAGTGCAAAGTGTAAGATGTGTCACGTTTACTGTGTGCAGCATTCTCCAGTGTTTCAATTATCAAGCAGTTATTAAATCACAATATGGAGACTACTGAAATTACTAATCAAAGACATCATTTAGTATTGAATCATCCATTTTATTATCTCAAATAAATGTACTTCAGTATGCTTTCTCTTTTGATTATCTTGTTATTTGGCGGTTGTAAATATGGCATGCTGTATTTGTCAGAATATGTATCGTGTATTTAAGGGTAATTAGCTAATATGAATTATGAGGCTGAATAAATAGCAGACACAACACATCAGCATCTTCATCAGACCAGTTTCGCACTAACTCAACACACTTCGGCACGTCCTGTCATGAATCATTTTTACGGTGTAGCTCGGTCACGTTGAATATTGATTTACCAGCATCATTACATTATAATACTGCTGTGTACTAAACCATTCAGTGAATACATTTCCCATCCTACACTAGGTGCTTACAGAGCTTTCTGTATACAGCTATATTTGTAAACACATTTCACACAATGAGAGGACATGGAAATGAAAAATAGACATGAATGAGAGTCTCGGGTTTTGAAATCAATCTCAATAGACCTGTTGACTATCCTGGAACACCCTCTGTCAAGGTGGATTCACCATATACACAGTTAACCCTGGTCTTTACTCCAGCAGAGAGAGAAGATTATGCCTCCCGGCTGCCAGGAACTCAGGGGAGAGCGGCCTTGGTTTTGTTTATGCCTTCTAGTCCTGCAGGTAGACCTTCTAGAACTCCCTCAGAGATGTTAAACTGATCTCGTATGCCTGCCTGAGCTTCATTCAGGTCATAGGATTAGAGCCCAACCCCAAAGGTCTGGCAGAAACTAAGAGATGTTTAAAAAGTATTCTTGTTTAATATTGTTCTGGCCAGGATTTGGCCAGGGGTGAAATTGTTCTTCCTTTTTTAACCTTGTGAAATTGGAATTTGTGACCGGAGATCTCTCGATCCAGTTCTTGGAGAATAAAATCAAATATTCGTTATGCTCTTTCTCTTAAATACACATTTATTCACTCTTTTGACAATCACTGCACATTCACAGGGTTCACAGGTTCTTGCCTTTTTATATTTCTGTTTATAGCAATCTCGTCAGCCTTTCATCATGACTGGTTCTGCCTCCCTCATAGCTTAAATGATTAAACCGTGCGTTTGTTTTTGTTTATGTGTTTTATCTGAGCAGCTTTTCCTGTTCCACCACACATATCGAACAACTACTTTCCTTGGAACCTTTTCCACACATCATTGTTGTGTGCTGCTTAGACTCACTTGAGCAAGAGAGAGAGACTCATCCTTGGGGATTTGGACAAATCCGTTTTTTTGTTTTTTGTGTTTTTTTTGTTTTTGTTTTTTCATTATTGGTTAAAGTGCAATTACAGTGGCGGCAGAGTGCTCTCATCGCCATTAATCCCTGGCAAGTAATATACATATATTCATTTAACATACTGGCAACTTTCTAAAAGTGAGATTTATGCTCTGCTGGTGAGTTGCTTTGTGATGGGCCTTATCTCGTTTCAGCACATTTCAATAAGAGTTTATAGCTGAGTGGAGACAGAGAGCAGTGTATCAAACAGACTAGACCTCCAACCACTGTAAGCATCAACATGTGCATGGAGAAGCTACACACACACGCAGGCCAGCGTTTGTTATACAGTTAGGATGTGGAAAATGTTCAGTGCTCCACAGAATGGGATTTGATTTTTTTGAATGAGTTCACCTGATAAACTCATAATGGATCTCCATTTGAGCATGAGATTTCCATTAGTTCCTCTGAATTATTTTAGCAGAACAGATACAAGATATTCAGCTCATCCTGAATAAAAGTCTGGCTGATAAACTGATAATTATGTTCATGTTATGGCTGATAACCGATAAATGACTGAAATGGCTAATTTCTGAAGGATCAAGTGACTGTGAAGACTGGAGTAATGGCTGTTAAAAATTCAGCACAGGAATAAATTACATTTTAAATGTATTAAAATAGAATAAAGAAATTTTAAATTGTAATAATATTTCTAAATATTGCCGTTTTACTGTAGATTTGATGCAGACTCTCAGAAACAACTTAAAAATTGTATCGACCCTAAACTTTTGAACATTAGTGTAAATTAAAAATAAAACACTAAAAACGAAAATCTGTCATTTTAAATGCTGTAAGGGAATTTAGGCGTTATACCATTAAATGTACACTTCAAAAAATGTATATACATTTTTACATTTGCTAAGGATTTACATAGTTCATTTTGCACTGTACTGTACATCTACTGTACTATATTTCTTTGAAATAAATGCTATTTGGTTTGATGTTTGGTTTTATAATATAAACACATGTGTTTTAGGTGTACTTAAGTTACTTATTGAGGCCGCTGTATATGTGTATAACTGCATTCACGTACACTTGCATGTTTCCACAGGTCACTCTCTGGCCGTATCGTTGGTGGTGTGTGGTGGTTCTTCACTCTGATCATCATCTCCTCATACACAGCCAACCTAGCTGCTTTTCTCACAGTGGAGAGGATGGTGTCACCCATCGAGAGTGCAGAGGATCTGGCCAAACAGACTGAGATTGCTTATGGGACTCTAGATGCCGGCTCCACCAAAGAGTTCTTCAGGGTAAGAGGAGCCATGAAGTGTTATCTTCAAAGTATATTTGTAAATGTATAATATTTCACTTTCTTTCCTCATTTAGAGGTCAAAGATCGCAGTCTTTGAGAAGATGTGGTCCTATATGAAGTCTGCAGACCCCTCAGTGTTTGTGAAAACCACAGATGAAGGAGTTATACGGGTGAGGAAATCCAAAGGGAAGTACGCCTACCTGCTGGAGTCCACCATGAACGAGTACATCGAGCAGCGCAAACCCTGTGACACTATGAAGGTCGGAGGAAACCTGGACTCCAAAGGCTATGGCATCGCCACCCCCAAAGGATCCCCTCTCAGGTAAAGTCAGCTGTCCAATATATGCTAACTGTAAGGATTTAACCATTATGAAAATAACATCTGATGGTGGTTCAGTTGTGGTAGAGGCTGGATACAGTACTAAAGGGGTTATGCTCACCTTGGCTAACTGGATTGTCTATTTTCATCTTGCATTTCACAATCTTGCAAGCCAGTTCTGAGTACTAGGTTATGAAGGAAACGCTGCAAACTAATGCAATCTGGCGTACTTTACTGAATCTGTACAGCATCACTCCATCACTGCAATCCAGACCCCTAAATCAGCTCTTTAAAATGCCAAGTGTGCTTGAGTACACTGCATAGTCTATATGTGCTCTTCTCCATCATTTGATTCATTTTTGCTGACACGATTGCAGGGAAATATCGCTGAGTTTTGCAAATAAGACACATTATATAACAAGCTTAGTTTACAGAGAAAAAAACATGTTTGTGCTGAGAATGACTTACTCACTGCACATCGCCAAAAACACATTTAGCACCTGGATTGCGGATGGTTTATGAATAAGATGCAGGTTTTTGCCAAAGTGGTGCGGCTGTTCGGTTTCTCTTTTTTTAAGGACTTTTTAATGGTTATACGTGACATCATTAAATAAGTCATCATTTGAACGAAGGGGGCGAGGGTGGAAGTACTGTACTAAGCAGCCTCTGCTATAACGGAACATGCTGTTGTGTGGGTGTACATACTTGTGTGTGGAGCTGTTCAAAATCCCGCTCGTACCTCATGTTGCTTGAGGGGGTTTTCAGCACACTCCACCAGAAGCGCTTGCATAAGAAACGGCAGAAAAATGATGCACCCTCTTCAGAAGCTCTTTAGGAAACACGTGTGTTCACCGTCCTTTCATTAAAGAGCAGCGCCACTCGGCAGAGCCCATTGAGACGGCTCAGACATTATTCATGACAGGCTCTTTGAAGCTATAGGTTTGCCAAATGCTAATTTCAATTTCTCTCCTCCTTCATTACAAATTACAAAAGCTTTTTTCTCACAGAGTGACTTGCGCATGAGAGAAATTGGGCAATCAGTTGTTATTCTTATGCAAGCCACTTCTGAAGATGAATGTCGACATTAACGCGTTTCTTTTATATTCTCTGCAATATAAGGTGAACACTTGTTATTTCAATTGTATGCCGCCATCATTAACATCACATTTATTGTGCTTGAATGTACCCATCTGACTAATACACCATGGCCCACATGATATTACATTCATTGCAGTGCAAAGGGCCTCGCAAGGGCAATTTGGAGCTGATGAAATAACCTCAATAACTCCATCTCTCTCTAATAAGATAAGCTCCTTGGGGAAACGACCTCATAGCAATTGTACAGTCATTTTTTGGGTCACCTTATAGCAAAGTGAACTGGGTTAGAGCGTGGATGGAGTGGGAGAGAGACATCGGATACAAGATGTTAATGACTGACTTCCATCTTGCTACCTAGGGCAGGACTCAAATTAAATTCAGTACTAGCTAGCCATTACTGTGACAGCAAGAGTGAAATGTGTTTGAAAATGTGTGTCTGGTGAGTTACCAGCTGTGCAGTGTATATCTCATTTTGAGAGAGAGCGACTCCCATACTGACACATACAAGTACCAGTATATGCTATATGGGCATCTACTGTGTGATTTAATCACATGGAAGACAATGGGAGAATTTGCTCTCTCTGTCAAAATTGGTAGACACTGAGAATCTTATGCCTAGATTGTGTCTAGATTAACATCTAGATTGAGTTATGATTTGCTGGACTAACCATGTGGTGCAGTTGTCAAAATATACTATAATTCTCCATGTACCTTCACTGACTTTTTGGCTGCATTTACACTGTCAATCAACTTTTATCATATATTATTATTTAAACAGCATGACAAAAAATTGGATGTGAAATCTATGCATTAAACATTGCAATGTAAATGTAGCTTTAATGACACTGATTAGAGCCTTTAATACAGATCATTTTTACACCTCACTATCTGATATGTTACGGTCTGCTAGCCTCATCACACTTTAATGAACAATTTCTTAACCAAGAAGATGTTAATTAAGCTTTTGAACTTGTTTTACTTTTTACTTCACTTTGTGTTTTATATGTTAATTTATTGACTGAAGTAATAATCAGTTTTGGTGCATTTCGACAGCTGTTCCACATTTTCCTTGTCTTATCTCCGACTGATACCTTAAATCGGTTTGTTTTGCAGTCAAGATGCGCCAGCCCTAAAGATTGATGTGTGTGCCCTTTTATCTCTATCCATCTGTACCCATTCTCTTAGTTTAGTCAATAAAATCATCTCACCCAAAGCACTGCCACCTCCTGATGCAAATGCTCATCAAACTGAATGTAGCTGTTTGTTCCTCATTCCTGAGACACTCTCTGACTTCTTTCTATCTGGTACTTCTGGGATTAGAAAGAATTCTTGGGTTTTATCAAGCCAGAGAATCACTTTCCTACACATGCAGAGCTGCAGACGACATTTGCTCGCGACGCAGATCGGCCAGCCGGTTATATGGGTCGTGAGGAGATGTACGTTTGTGCCTGTGAACTGTATGTGGTGTTCAAGACCTGAGGATGAAGAAGAAGTTGAAAACAGATGAAAAGAGAGATGCTTTAGATGTGGTTCCTCAGATCAGTCATGTGGGGCAGGGGAATTAAAATCAAAAATAAAAATTGTCATCATCTACTGTTATGTTGGTCAAACCCTTTTCATATTGCTTTTTTTAAGCTAAGACAACTTTAGTTTAATGTTCATGCTGCTTCTTTCAAAACAATGAAAGTAAATGGTGACTAAGCTCCAAAAATTGCAAAAATCACCATAAATGTAGTCCATATGACGTGCATCTAATAAATTATTCATTCAAGAACATTGTGCTAGTTTACTGCAACAATGGTGATGTGAACTTGACATACTTTTGAAAACCCAGCGTTTAGTTGGTCCTGAAAAGCACTTATTGTCACAATTTTAAACATGGCAGCTTTCTTCTTCCATGTGTCACAAAGCAAGGCCAGACACAACAGGTAAGTGCAAATCAGGATGGTTTATTGACTGGGTAAGGGGATGACTGGAATAGGTGTGTTAAATGCAGGTGAGTGTCAACACAGTGAATGGTTCCAGGGTGCTTATCTGAGTTCTGATGGTGAGGATCGGATGCCGGTTACGTTGGAGATCGTGGAACAGTTTCCAAGGAGTCGTTGGAGGATCGCGGGAGGAACAGCAGGTAATTCGTTCTAGGAGAATTTGGCAGAGAGAGTCCAGAGAAGTTCATAGGAGTGAACGGTAGACCGGACAGTGAGTGACTGTGCTGTGTGTGTATTTGTAGTGTGGCTTGATTGGTGACAGCAGGTGCGGGTGATCAGAACTCAGGTGACTGTGATCGGGTAATTATCCTGGATGGTGACTGAAGTGACTGTGATGAATCCCTGACACCATGAGGGGGATTGGCGTCACGACGGGTTTGTTTCCAGGCAGACACTTAAAGAATGTGACACACGTCTCGCAGAAATCGTGTAGAATCCAACCAATCAGATGAAGACTTTGAAACTACAAAGTGTTTCCAATTTTGTGTGCCTTATGCATCAGAAATTCAGCTAACGGTCAATTGGCGTGACGTTTGAGGCTGAGACTACCTCTAATATAATGCTCCAGGTTCTAGAGAACATTCGGTTACACTTTAGTTTGATGGTCTCCTTTAGACATTATTTTGACTATAAGTAACTTTGCAACTACGTGTCAACTAACTCTCATTAGAGCATTAGTAGAGTATTAGTTAGGGTGACCATACGTGCCATTTCTACAGGACACATCCTGGCCAGGATTTCGATATTTGGCTTTATTTTCCTGTTTTCATACTTGCTGAAGGTAATGATCGGAAAGTAGCTTGACCAATAATGTGCAGGCATTGTACATAATCAACCAATCATGGCGCGTGAGAAGATGGGATCTACAGAGAACGGTCAAAGTGATGCAAATACGTGTACAGATTAGATTTGTTCATTTGACTTGAAGCAGCTCTGTGCAGACTGATCATTGTATGACATTAAAGTACCACGAGAGCGATTGGAAAGCATAAGGAGCCGTCTGCTCTCTCTATAGCTCTCACGGATGTCATACACCGATCAGTCTGCGCAGCGCAAACAACCAAAACCTGGATATTTTAGGCAATATAGAAATCCTGGCCAGGACGTGTCCCGTAAAAATGGCACGTATGGTCACCCTAGTATTAGTAGACTGTAAGGTTAGGGTGAGTAGAATAAGTCAACATGTCAGTAGAATGTCTGTTGGAGATCATCAAAGTAAAGTTAGCAGATATTAAGCAGACAGCCTACAAATACTCTGAGAGTTAGTTGATATGTATAGTTGCAAAGTTACTTATTAGTCAACAGAATATCTGAGGACCATCAAAATAAAGTGTTACCGAACATTCACACTCTTCTAAAATGGCATATTCATGTCATATATTCTTGCATGACAGACATAGATTGTATTGCATGTTAACTTGTTTATTAACTTGTTAAAATCCACATTTTATACAAACAAGAATCTATGCTAGTTTTGAGAGCTGTAGTTGAGATTTGTGACAATGCACGACTTCTGAAGACTTGGAAAATAGTGCACAGTCATTCAGTATGAACAACTGTTGTGGTAATTTTTTTAAAAAGTCCTTGTTCACCATTCACTTTCACTGTGTGCGTGAACATTCTGCCATTTCCTTCTGTATTTGACAGAACAAGGAAAGAAAAGAAAGAAAGAATTTGATCTACGGGTGAGTTTTTATTTTGGGGTGAACTATCCCTGTAAGAATTCATCTAACGTCTCCAGGCTGTTGTTTTCGATTCATATTGTCACATTCACCAAAAGGGAAGAGCCAAAAGCAGACAGTAAACACTAAGGACATCTTTTTTTCTCCTTCTCTATCTAAAGAAGTCTTGTTCCTGGCTTTATAAAACCTGTCTTTCACAAAGGCCACTAACAAAAGCATTGTTTTCCATTAATGTACATGTTAACATACTTTATATACAGACTCAGGACAAAACCACTGCAGATGCCATGCATTTAACATTCCAACCAACATAGAGCAGTGGCTGTTGTGTTCAAACCAGTCTGAGTCTGTTTTCCCATCACGCTGTCTCTGAAATGGTTTATCTGGGCTGACACTGACCAAAATATTATTTCGTTATCGTTTCAAGAAACCCAGTAAACCTGGCAGTGTTAAAACTGAATGAACAAGGCCTGTTGGACAAATTGAAAAACAAATGGTGGTACGACAAGGGAGAGTGTGGCAGCGGAGGAGGTGATTCCAAGGTCAGCCCCAATGTGACAAACCCAGCGGGTAAAACCACCACTACCATGGGGGGGTAACCGGCAACTCACGCCGACTAAACACTCTAGACCGAAACAATCTGTCCTAAACTGAGCTTACTACTTACACATTTTCGTTGATTAATAAATAGTAAGTACATTTTGATCAAATTATGGCATATCATGGCAACTGGTCAATAATAGCTGACCACGTTCACATTATTCCAGGTGGAGTGTTTGCGGTCTGCCGGTTACCCAAAGTGATATTATAATACACATCTTGCAGCAGGGAGCAAGGAAGCATCGCTAGATGGAGTATTAACCCATATCACTTTTACAATGAACTACCAACATGTTTCTGATATGTGTGCAGTCAATTAAAAAAGAAAAAGAAACAGAACAATTGAGTTGATATTGATGGGTATGTGTTTAATGTGTGCTGAATAACATAAAATAACATGGATAATGTTATTTATGTTATTTTCCTGGTTGAAGAATCCCAGTTAACCTAGCGGTGTTGAAACTCAGTGAGCAAGCCGTCTTAGACAAACTGAAAAACAAATGGTGGTACGATAAGGGGGAGTGTGGAAGCAAGGACTCCGGAAGAAAGGTCAGTTCACATATTTGGTCCTGCTCTGTTCCCTTCAGTTTAGCCCTCTCAGTACCCTTCCAGAAGGTTCAGTTAGGAATCTGGACATGGGCGGCTCTTACTCTCTCTCCAGTGTTGTATTCTTTCATTTGGGATGTCAGAGGACACATTTTAGTAGTAGAAACTGCCATTTTGCTTTATTAAAATTTTGTTATTTTATACAATTTTGTGTGAAAACATGTTATGCAGATTTGGTGCGCAAGCAACTTTTCTTATTATCAATGTTCAAAACAGTTGTGCTGCTTAATATATATATATTTTAATTATTATTATTTATTTGTCATTTTTTTACAAAGCATTAACAAAGAGCTTCATACAATTGCAAAACTGTACATTTATTCTCCCACATTACCCCTTTCCTCTATATAGAAAAATAATAATAAGCATAATTATAAATACAATACAAAATAAGTAAATAGATCAACTTTAGCATACAAATGAATATATCCATAATAATCAATCAATAAAATTATAATCCTAATCTCTGATACATTCAAGGACTGTACATATAATATGACTATATCAGTTTTTTCAAGATTCCTTGAAAAATAGAAAGTTCAAAATAACTTAGATCTATTTAAAATAGAAATCTTTTGTAACATTATAAAAGTCTTTGCTGTCACTTTTCTGATAAATGTAATCCATCCTTGCCATAAATAAAGTATTAATTTCTTTTTAAAAAATGACTTAAAACTTGTAGTGTATGTATATTATGCACTAAACAGGTATAATGTTAGTATACTGTTCAGAACATTTCTGACCATTATTTTTGTACTGTCATAAATTACAGATTTTAGGTGTATGTTTATAATAGATTCATACATTTTATACAATTTAATACATTTTATATTTTTAATTCAAGTGTAAATAATAGTATATCTAGCTCCAGGAGCGGTGAAGAGAAAGGCCATTATTATAGACTGGGTGAGTCATTGCATGATACACTCACTTTGTTTAAAATAGCCTGGTGTTCTGAATGGAGCTCTGGAGAGAGACTGGTCATATTGCTCTGATCATCCGTAAGAGTCAAGCCTCCCTTATGGTCCTCAGCCTCTGTGTTCTCCCTCCTGTCTGCTCTTGGAGTGTGCATGTATTTGGATGCAAAGCCAGTGGACAGCTGTCTGTGCTTAGACATAGGCCCCAGCCGCCAAGCACCCCCACAGCACCAAACCCACCTGCATGGCACACACAGACGACACCACACCTCCCTTATGTACCTTTCTTAGAGAACCGGTTCCACACCAATATTATATTATATCACCTTTGATTAAAGGGGTCATATGATGCGAGCTTAAACCACATAAACACATTTCATTACACCAAATACACCAAATAATGTTCTTTTTAGCAGCATCATATGACCCCTTTAAGTACAAATCCAAATCTCCTTAGATTCATGACCTGGGCTGCATGGGTGCCAACCATTAATATAGTCTTTTGCAGCTGTGATACTGTATGTGATTGTTTAGTAGCTTGTAAATTAGTGAAGATGTCGAAGTCGAAGGTGAACACAGACTGCCTTTGTTAGTGCATGAATGCATGTTCCTCATTTTAAATGAGTCCTACATGACAATTTGTGACATATTTTAACGTGTTTAACCTATAATATTAACCAATCAGTTTTATATTATTATTAAAATATTAGTTATTTTTATATAATATTAATTTAAATTGTATTAACATTTATATAATTTGATGTACTAGTTAATACTATAATAGTATTTATTATTAATATTAAATGACATTATTAGTATTGAATAAAAGTATTTATTAATAAGATTATATTATTTATATTAGTTACATAAGTTAACATAATTGGATGTTTCATAATAAATATTGCTTTATGAATAGCATTTAGCAATAATGCAAGTTCAGCAGTCAAAAAAATGGTTGTTTTAGCAAAACAGAAACTAAATATTTATATTCATGATATATTCATGTAGGTCATGTAGGAGCAGGAAACATTTTAAGCAAATAATTATAGTGCTACATTTGGTGCCACAGTATTTTTTTACATTTGCAACATTGCTCAAGATAGTTCTCATTTTAGCTTTATTCAATGTATATGTTTAGATGTTTGGATGAATGCATAAATGTGTATATGTAATGTATAGGAGTGCTTCTGTTGTCTTTGTCCGTGTGAATTTGTTAACATTTTATAAAGTAACTCTCATCTAAGACATTTTTCCTTCTCCTGTAGGACAAGACCAGTGCTCTTAGCCTCAGCAATGTGGCTGGGGTCTTCTACATTCTGATCGGCGGTCTGGGTCTGGCCATGCTGGTGGCCCTGGTGGAGTTCTGCTACAAGTCCAGAACAGAGTCCCACAGAATGAAGGTGTCTGCGCGGGCCGCTCAGGCCTTTCACTGCACCGCCTTAGACAGCAGCTACACTGAGCTGCAGAGTTACGGCCTGTTACGGCCTGTTAAGATATAAAGCACTCTGGGGTAGGAACCTCGAGCACTGCAGAGAACTAGGCCACATCCTGCCCACGTAGCAGCCTGACCTGCCCCCCATCTAACCGTCGCCAGATTCAAAGCTTCTGCTGCCCACTTTCAAAATCATCCGTTTCTCCTCACCTCTTCTTTTTCTCTCTCTTACACTCCTATTTTAATAGTAGGACTGTCAAAAATGTAAATTAAAAAAACATTTATTTAAAAAATAATAATTTTAAATATATTTTAATATGATTGTTTGATAATGTTAATCAAAATATATTTGCTGAGAAATGTCCCCAAATGTAATATTATTTAATTTAATAAATAATATATTATTATTGTTTTAATTTGTAACTAATTCTTTTTATATTAATATTACAAAAATATTTAAAAATTTTAAATATATATATTTTTCATTTTATAATTTATTTTTAATTGTTAGTGTATGTAAACATGCTACTACATCTTGACAGCCCTATTTAATACTCCTAATTTAATCTCTCTTTATTTCTTTCTCTCCCTCTATTTCCTGCTCCCTCAGTTTCCCTTTGTCCGCTAGCTGCTCTGTCCATAGACTAGAGCTTTGTTTATACACATCGTGTCTCTGTTCATTCATGAAACAGAGCAAGTGTTCCCCTGAGACACTGCAGGTCTCTGTTTTCCACTATGACTCCAAAAATAGTCCGTCTAGACTTAAGATTATGCATCAGTCAGCTTGTGTGCTTGTTTATACAATAAGACCAATGTCAGATCTTACGTAATGTACTTTTGCTAATGCATAGTTGATTAAAAGTATCTATCACAAGCATGCAACCTATGGAAACCCATTTTCACTATGGAATAAAAAAATAAGAAAGGTTATTGCGACTCATTAACTCACAATTCTGACTTTTTTACCTCTATTTTTTATTCTATGGCAGAAACAAGCTTCCATAACAGGCCAGACTGACCAATCAAAGAAACTCCATTGCAAAAAAAAAAAAAGGGTCCCCGATGAACGTAACCCATTGCATATACAGATACCTCAGTGTGATTTTTGTAATAAGTGTCTTTATGACAGGCAATTACCCAAAGTAGGATTTGTAACAAGTTTAGCTGGGTATTACACATTCGTGTAATACTATAATAGCAAAGATTAATATAGATTTGCTTTGTTAATTCAATTGACAGGAGTCACATTTCACAGCTGTCCATTTTTCATATTAGGTGAGCAGGAATCTGAGTCTTTATAGGCAAACTAATTAGTCTGCATCAGGCATATAACTTCATCCCCTAACGCGCTGAAGTGTAGGGCAATGAAATCATTCTTAGATTGGAAAAATGCGATTTAAAGGGACACATCATTAGCCTTGGTTTCAGGCCCACTGGCTGCGACTACAATAGCGGATTGCTCTTCACAACAGCAGCAATAAAATGATGACATTTCTCACTTCCACACCGCCGTAGCAAATTAAGCTCATGTTACACGCCTATCAAGACTGTTTATTGTCTACCCACTTGTCAGAGATGCTTTACAGTGTCAGCTTTGGTTTTGAGGGCCTAAATACGGTGGTCCTGGGGGGCACAATGCAACAGCATTAGCCAAGCAATTAAAACTTGACAACTCACAGCATTAGCCCACAACACATCTTTAATGCAAATAAGGGTCATTCACATAGCAAATCATTTTGAATCCAAGTGCTCAGTACAGTTATGGCTGGTAAAGCATGGAATCGCAACCCAAGCTCATTGGAAAAACTTGCCTGTGGCGACATTTCTGTAAAATATTTCGCAGCTTCTTGCATGTTTCACGACACTTTCAAACAGATATAAATCAGAGACAGATAAACGTGAATCTGGCAGGGTTTTATTACACTGATTGTTGTATGTATTGCATCAGTTCGGAAATGTCAGACGCTAAAAGATTAATGCTCTTAATGTTAATAATCACGTTTGAAAATAACGCACTACCTACACTAAATGCTACCCTAAACTAGGGATGGTAAGATTCACTGATTCGCATCGGTGAATCGGCATAAAATTTACGATGCGATGCATCGATTTAAAAAAGTGTGCATCAGATAAAAGTTGGCATTTGTTTCTAACATATTTGCATTGGTAAAAAACTATTTATTTATTTATAGCGCGTTCGAAATCGGATCGCACTGCATCGTAATAGGGGTAAATCATATCATGTCGCATCGCAACGGTAGCTGCTTCATATGTATCTTTAATTTATTGTATCGTTGGCTATGCATCAAGTTGCGTATCACATCGTCCTCAGTTATGGAGATGCACTTCCCTACCCTAAACCTAACCGATAATGTTAACAAAAGCAAACGTGAAATAACAGTGCATTTGTTGAGGGAATGACATTTTAGTTTGCTTCTACACTGAAAAAAAAATTTTTATGTAGGTTTTACATTGAGACAACGTAACATAATTGCTTGTAAATTTTGGAAATAATTACAAAGAAACTGAAATTTTGAAGTAGAAAGGCCAAAATAGTATATACTTTTAAAACGAACTCCAGTAATCTTTATTTACGAATTCAAAAAAACTTTGAATCCATAGTGTAACACTTTACTAGGTGAGCTACCGAGCAAGCTTACTACATGAAAGCCATACATATGGAGCTGGTTCTGTGAGGCAAATGTCAAAATGTATTCGTTTTCAAATCATGCACTAGGGCAAAGTGTTTTGAGGTAATAACAGTATTGTGCAAAGAACTGCACAAAAATAAGTCTTTATTAATTGATAATGTGTAAAAGGTAATCAAATTTGTTGGTGTTTTACTGCCACTAGTGGTCATTTCAGCTGGAAACTGCAGTGAATTGTATGTATAGGTACGTTTTTGGAGTTTTGCACAAATGTACGTAAGTAGGCACGTTTTTCCAAAGAGTCCATGTTGTAGAATTGGTAGGTTTTCAAATGGGATAAAGAGCTATTGTTGTTATTTAATATAGCAATATGGCTAATATTGAATTGTTTCCCAAAATGCATCATTATTAGAAAAGTTTCATAAGTGTTTCATCTGTTTGCTATGCTGAAGGCATTGTGTTGTGCCCCCCCCCCAAGCCACCATGCTGATAAATTATAGTCAGGAAACTTAAAAGATGGAAATCGGTTGGCGTAGCCCTGAAGATTACTTCACTTCACAAATGTTGTCTAACTAATTATCCAGTCATCACATGGCAAAACATTTTATGTGCATACTCCATTAGGCAGACGCATAAATCATCTTTTACTGTCTCCTACTAAAATTGAGCATCTTTCAAACAGTCCTGCATGTATTTCCGTATTCCTGTCTAACGCTGTTGTGTCTCCATCCCAGCAATCCATCAATGACGCCATGCGCTGCTCCACGCTGACCAGGATGAGCGGGAACGGTAGCGGTGGGGAGAATGGGCGGATTGTCACACATGACTTCCCCAAAGCTGTGCAGACGCTGCCGTGCATGAGCCACGCGGCCAGCATGGGCCTGGGAGCCTCTGGCATGTGACCATCTTGACGGAGTGGCACGCGTCACATGTAACACACGGACCTCCCGTTCACCTGCCGTCTGCCCCTATGTCTGTCTGCCCACCCGCAACAGATGCACCGTACTGCCAAAATGCACTCGAAGACTCTTCTCAGTGAATAGCCACCAATAAAACTATTTTCTAAAGAAAAACAAAACATTAAAAAAGGGGGGGAAATGTGCTGCAATAACAAGCCTGTGGGACTCTTTTGGGGAAAAAAAGTGTTCGTTTATGTCATGAATTCAGAAAACAAAAAAAAGAGAAGTCTTGTGTCCGATTCGACACTCGCGCTGTGCCAATATTTATAAACCTGTTTACTTCTGTCTGAGTGTGCAATATTTTAGTTCATATCAGTGTTCAGCAATGTTGTCTTTAACTTGAATTTCTTTACAAAGATTAGCTCACAGAGATGTTTTTTTTTTTTTTGCACAAATATGTTCTATGAAATGACAAAAGCAAGTTCATTTTCCTTATACTTACCAGAAAAGAGTTAGAGAAGCTAACAAGCAAGATCTTACAGTATATGGATCCAGTGCACCGTAAACAACATTGCTATTTCTCTCGGTCACTCTACGTATTGAAGAAACATATCAGCTCATTTAATGACCTGTCCATAGTGTAAATACTCCGATGTAAATCTGATACTGAGTGAGGGATAAATTTGATTTGTTGTCGATCGTTAGAGCATAGCGGAACTGAACTTGTTGATTATCTTGCTCTGTAATTTCCCACCTCATGGACCTTGCATAGCTGCTACGCCTCGTTTCAGGCACCATACCTCATCAGAGACCTGGGAGCGAGCCGCCACATGTTTTGATTGCCAGCTCTCTTAGGACGGAGTCAAATTTGACCTCCTTTGACTTTTGGTAAATGTGCTTTAATGAGCTAGTTTGTCCCAAACACAAACCATCAGATCTCGTTAAAGTGAAGCCATTGAGACTACATTAAGAAAAGTTCATTTGAATGATGTCGCTGTAACAAAAAGGGTACTTTTTACAAAAATGTATTCATATAAGACTATGCCTGCATGGAATATCAAGAGATTTCCACCAAATCCAAATGCCCATTATTCAGGACATTTGGCTAATTTAATAATACTAAGAGAGTGTAGCACTCTCCCCATAATCAGTGCAAAAATTAAAAAAAAATAATAATACAAAATACATCTATGTGGGCCTACATGTGACATGGCTTAAAGGGACCCAAAATGAAAAATCTGTCATCATTTACTCAGCCTCATGTTGTTCCAAAAGACACCCGTATGACATTTTCTTAGGTGTACACAATAAAATATTTTCCATATTTTATGCCCATCATATGCAATGTCTGGAGCCCACTGACTTTCTGTATATGAACAAAAACATTGCTACCTATTTAGTTTTACACAGAAGGAGGTCATACAGGTTTGGAACAACATGAGGGTGAATAAATGACAGATTTTTAATGTTTGAGTTGACTATAAGTTGTTTTCTGTTAATAGAACTAACAAAGAAAAGAGTGCAGAACAGCAACAGGATCCAAATACTGGTGAAACATAGGCTGTTCTGTCCTATATACACACACTGTGCGACAAGGCTCCTCATGAGATGATATTTGTGGAGATATCATTGATCGGCTACTGGGGCCAAACTGACCTTTCTGAGCTCTTGGCTTCATCACTGCAGGCTTTCAGAACATGGCTTCCAGCTCTACCTATTCAGCCTTCCCCTGCACACTGCCATTGTACTGCGAAACATGACACACTGTGTGGCCATCAAAACGCTTATATTTCTCTGGCTTTTTCTTTCCATTTTCTTCACGTTTTATTAGGCACAGAACACTGCGGTCCTTTATGGCCTCATGTGAGAGCAGTATTTTATAAGCAGTAAAAGATTTGTAAAGTTAGTGAGACATTTAACATTTATACCGCTGTGAGATTTTGAAGAGTTGATTGAACTAGTGTTTTACACTTTGTGACGCAATGTTACTCGGATATTCTCACTGATAAGGGTGTTGATTTTGATTAGTTAAGAGAGAAATGGATTCTTTGTGTTTCTGCTATAAATGTTGAAACTTCTTATTTTGGGGTTTTTCAGTGCAAAATTTATTCTTCATACTCACCTACTTCTTGATGATTCCACAGTCTTGAGCATTTTATTTGGGATGTTTTTTGTTTGTTTTATTTTATTGTTATCTTTTTTATCATTAATAAGAGATGTGGTTGAATCAAATTTACTGGAAATTACATTCAATCAATAATGAATAAAACTTTTCTAACCACAGTTACCAAGAGCTGGGTCACTGCTTTTCAACCATGGGAAATTAATCATATTTTAGTCATCTTTTTGTAACAAATACTTGCTTTAGGTGAGACATTTTTTTTAATGTATGAAATTGAAGAACAATATTTATTGCTATGAATGCTGTTTTATAGGAATAATAATTGCTGAAAGTAGAGTGATTATTCATTTATTACTTTCTCTTCATTACTTGATAAGTGGCCATCTCTGAAAGATTGGTGTTTAATGTATTTTCAGCCATAGATCTCTAGAGCTTGACTCACTGTAGTGTTTTAATTACCTACAGGTGCATCCCACACATAATCACTGACATTTAACCAGTCGGCATATGTTGCCTCAAACCCATTCATTTTAGGAATTATTAATTCTTTAATCTTTGTCAATTTAAGATCCCCTGCAGAAACAACGGAAAGGAGTTAATTGGGATGCCCCATGGCTCTAATTATGATGTTAGCAAAATGTAGAACCAAGAAACAGGTGTTTGTTCCCTCATTTTCGTTTGGTCTGATGCCATACATTGCATTTCAAGTTTCATCAAGGCATGCATAGAAATCTATGCATGATAAATCATGAAAAATCTGGCATAAAGTAAAAATGTACCAGTTACAGCTGTAGCCAGTTCACAAACATCTCTGTGCTGAAGCTTCAATGTTCACCAGTGTATTTCAGTTCCTTCAGGAATCATCCTCAACCTCACGTGGAGATGCATTGTGTAATAACTTAAAGTTGTTGTTTTCTTTCTTTAAGATTTGTGCTCCAGAGACTCATTTGTGACATTCTGTCAAGATGATTTGTTAGATGTACTGTAATTCCACACATGATATAGGCAAGCCTCTGTTGTAACTGAATTTCTCTTTTTGCATATCAGGTTTATAATCAGTTCTGTTCTGTTTCCAAGTAGGACAGTTTAGTCTGAAAGCTGGCGTACTGTGTAAAGTGTGAGATGTGGCATTTTCAGCATAGTCCTGTTATCCGCCGTGACACTGGAGAAAATGGATCGTTTGTCTCTTGTTTCCCCAGAGGTGGGGGACACAAGTTAACTTCCTTGATCTTCCAGAGCATCATTACGGTACTTTCTTAAGTGAAGGTTTTGCTCTTGGCCACAGACCAAAAAAAATGTATAGGGTATTTGTGTTCATGTTACTGGCAGGTATAGCTGTGTTTGCTGTTTTTTGCATCACACCACCAAGGAAGTTGAGAAAAAATATGAAAAATGATGAAAAATCACAAGTGTGATTTTGCTTCAAAAGCAGTTCAATAAGGTTAATATTCAAGTCACATTTGCACATTTAAGTCAGAAACATAACATTGAAGTTGTCTAAGCAAATATATAAAAAAATATATTGTAAACAATAAACCCAAATAACTATCTGAATTCAAAATTTCTCACTTATTTATACATTGCATCATAAATGTTTTTGTTATAGAAAGCAAACTGTGAAAGTTGAGTGATTCACACCATTCGCTACAGACTTGGAGCAACAGAGAGTGGTGGCATTAATGAATGAATTAGTGTTTTTGAACGAATTGTCTGAGTGAACGATTCAATGGCTCACACGGTCTTGTTGCATTCCTAAATCAAGCAGTGTATTTGAACAAATCAGTTCAATTAATGATTATGTCTCGCTCATAAAGACAGTCACTTGTCATCACCTAATGACGTAAAAATGTAGTCACCTAAAATTTCCACCACTAATACACAGACCTGATTCGAGGAGCGGAACTGACTGTTGTATAAATATTCTTTATCTGAGCCCCTGCATACTGAAATAACTTATATGACATCCTCTCATCAAAAAAACAAAACAGAAAGGCATCCGGTATAAAAGAAAACCTCATTTTTAAGGCAGTCTAAAAGAGCAGTATGCTTCCGATAGCCTGAGCTGTTTGATTGCTCACACTGTGACTATGGCATTGTAATGTGTGTGATTGTGTGGGCCTGAACAGCATACATAATGAAGACACAGTGTGGGTGTGTGAGACGGCATGAGAGGATCCATGACACCTGCCACTGTGCCTCAATCCCACGCTCTTTCTTTTTCTTTCTTTGCTCTTCTCTTATACACTCCTCCCTGTGAATTGTATTACAGGTGAATCTCAATAAATTAGAATGTCGTGGAAAAGTTCATTTATTTCAGTAATTCAACTCAAATTGTGAAACTCGTGTATTAAATAAATTCAATGCACACAGACTGAAGTAGTTTAAGTCTTTGGTTCTTTTAATTGTGATGATTTTGGCTCACATTTAACAAAAACCCACCAATTCACTATCTCAACAAATTAGAATATGATGACATGCCAATCAGCTAATCAACTCAAAACACCTGCAAAGGTTTCCTGAGCCTTCAAAATGGTCTCTCGGTTTGGTTCACTAGGCTACACAATCATGGGGAAGACTGCTGATCTGACAGTTGTCCAGAAGACAATCATTGACACCCTTCACAAGGAGGGTAAGCCACAAACATTCATTGCCAAAGAAGCTGGCTGTTCACAGAGTGCTGTATCCAAGCATGTTAACAGAAAGTTGAGTGGAAGGAAAAAGTGTGGAATTATGAAGTATTCTAATTTGTTGAGATAGTGAATTGGTGGGTTTTTGTTAAATGTGAGCCAAAATCATCACAATTAAAAGAACCAAAGACTTAAACTACTTCAGTCTGTGTGCATTGGATTTATTTAATACACGAGTTTCACAATTTGAGTTGAATTACTGAAATAAATGAATTTTCCATGACATTCTAATTTATTGAGATGCACCTGTATTTCCCATCAATCTATCTTTCTTCCTTTTGGCTGCACAATCGTGTCGTAGCCCACTCAGTCACAGCTGCTTTTATCTCAGCAGAGGATCTCAGACCATCCGGTGTCACATCCAGATTTTCAATAAAATACAGACACAAACATTCTACTACCCGCAGTGATGCACAATTAAATGTACAGGCAAAGGATATCTTAAGTGACATGCAGTCCTCAGCCTAAGCTTCTCGGCTTCGAGATTGATATAATCATGAATTGTAAGGGGGCAGAATATTTTATCTAAGTCTGATCTGACACTACCATCCCATCATTAAGAGGCAGAATAGCTTGGGGCAACATGGTACACGGTACACAGTGGATGGATGAATGTGGTTTGAAGAAGCAAACATACATGAAACATGACAGACAGTCATCTTCCTTTAGATCATACTCCATGCTCTTTTCCATGGAATTACAAGGATTAGGGGGAAAAAAGCAAAAGCACTGTAAAATTATCTTCTTCTGAAATGAATACTGTAACTTTGTGTGAGGAAATACACTGAATTGAGTGTGTTAAACTTGAGATCTGGATCATTTTTTTTCATGAATGAATCAAAGAACACATGTGAACAGGATAAAATTCTGAAGAATAAAAAAGAATTTGTTCATAAATCAGACATAACTACTACAGTTAGGGCAGTTGTTAAGATTTTCAGTGTAACAACAAATTTTAATTTGATTCCCATAAAAACCTATTGTATATGGAAGCCCATTTCTGCCACATAAAGAAAAAAAGTCATGCTTTTGTGAATCATAATTATTTCAAATTATAATTAGAAAATTATGAAATGCTAAATCAATTATGAGATAAAAAGTCAAAATTTATGACAAACTAAGTCATAATGAGATAAAATGTTGAAATTGCGACATGAAAAGTAATAATTATAACATACAAAGTCAAAATTATGACAGGTTGAAGGTGATAATTATGCCAAAAATATTGGGTTACTTAGTATGTCATAATCTTGACATTTCAAGTCAGAATTATAATGTTTATCTCATAATTACGACTTAGTATCTCATAAATTCTACTTTGTATTATAATTATGACTTTTTAGTTATGATTTACTTTTATTAAGCATGATTATTTTTTTTTTTTTGGTAGAAGTCGGCTTCCATATACAATAGGCCTTTATGAGGAACATTTAAATTTGTCATTATTCGCAGAAAATCGTAAAATAATCATAATCTGAAGATGGCTCATAATACCAATTTATTGGACCACTTTATTGTGATTTTGTATCCATTCCAATTTAAAGCTTATGTCACCCGAAATATGTGCATAATAATTACTTTTAATTACTTTTTAATGACTTAATACCTCATAATTTTGACTTTGATATTGATTTTGCATCCATTTTGGCACTTCAAAGCTTCAACCTCTGCTCATTATAATTAACTGGAAAATAGCATAGAAACCATTCTCATGTCTTTCACAGAAGAAAGAGTCAAAGTTTGAAACTACACAAATGTAATTAGCTAAATAATCACAGAATTTTTATTTTGGGGTAAACTTTCCTTTTAAATAAAATCTGAAATGCTAAAAGGTCAAAAATCTTAATTTCCAGAAAATTCTGTTCCGATCATTTGCAGGTTTTTCTGCAACAGTTGTGATTTGTTTTATTTGTTGCAAAGGGGCAGACGTGAGTGGGAGCAATGGAGTGATGGACCAAGAGAGAGCACACATGCTTACGTACACAAGTGAAAGAATGAACACGAGGGAGACAGAAAAGAGCGTTGTATTTGTACGTTGGCTCATCAGCGGCTCCCACTGTTCTACGGTCTGTGCGGAGAACAGAGGCCTGTTAATCACGCGGGCTCATCAGCACACTGACAGAGATAGATCCCCTGCCTCCTCTACTGCACCGCCACGGGTGATGCGTACGAACCACGCTAATGCGCTTCTGATTTCACTTCTGTCATACAAAGGCACCCTTCACTGTTTCATCCCAGCCACATTAGTGCACAGCCTTTGATCTTGGGGAAATCACTAAACGCTGTGATCGTTATGCTGTGAATCAAAAGTTAAAACCATGGGGGTGAATCGGACAGGCTCGCTTGGCCAGTGTTCGTGTTGTGTGGAGATGTAGAAAATCGCTGGGATAAGATGGATGGTGAAGTTAAATGAGCAACGCAGAGAGTGGAGAGATGTATGGCGGCGCACATGGCGTGAGAC